ATCATCATAATCATCCTCATGATCATTACCATTATCCTGATCATTCGCATTATCATCATCACCATCACCATCACCATCATCACACCATGCTTTCACACCCACCATCGACATCCCTCATCATTATCAGCATCACTTTTACATCATCGTCCTCACCATCATCACCAGCATCATCATCATCATCATCATCATCATCACCATCATCATCATTATGATCATGGTCGCCATCATTATCATCATCAGCATCAGCATCAGCATCATCATTATCCTCATCATCATCATTATCATCATCGTCATCGTCGTCATTGTCGTTGTCATCAAAATCAGCGTCATCAGCATCATCATCATCATCGTCATCATCATCGTCATCAGCATCGTCATTATCACCGTCATCATCATCATTATCATCATAAGCATAATAATTTTCATCATCATCACCATCATCATCAGCATCATCAGCATCACCATCTTGCACGCACGTGCACTCATTTTTTGAAATCTCAGGCGGGATCGCCGTTTGTGAGTGAATGGCCAGGAAGTCTCAGGCTGGAACCCCCTCCCTCTAGGACCCGCAAATCATGTTATCAATCCGAGCGGGCCACCGGAGCCTTGTAATTGTCGTCACTGTTGGGCTCCTCAGTCCTGAATATTTCGGAAGTCTCGAGCGGGAGCCTCGTCGGTGAGTGACTTGCGAGGAAGTCTTAGGCTGGAGCCCCCTCCCTACTGGGCCCGCAGATCATGTTCTTTATCCGAGCGGGTCACTTGTAGTTGTCGTGACTATTTGGGCTCCTCAGTCCTGCATGCGTCGCAAGTCTCGAGCGAAAAGCTCGTCTGTGAGTGAATTGCAGGAAATCTCAGGCGGCAACCTCTTCAACATGGGGCCCGCAGCGCATGCTATTAATCCGAGCGGCCCGTCGGCTTCCTGTAATTGTCCTTATTTCTGGCTTCTTGTTAAGCGTTGCGAAGGTCTCTGGCAAGAGCGTCGTCTGTAATTGAATGGCGAGGACGTCTCAAGCGGGAACCCACTCTCTATGGGGCCCGCAATTCATGTCACCAGTCCGAGCGGCTCATCGAAACCTTGTAGCTGCCCCCACTTCTGGTGCCTTGAAGCTTGAATATGGCGGAAGTCTCGAGCGAGAGCCTCGTCTGTGAGCGAATGGCGAGACAGTGACTGCGGAACATGCTGATATCTGCGGCCGCCCACGCGAGGAGTTCCTGTAGCACGGGTTGCTCCCGCGCCCCAGCTTTCATGGGGTGGTCCCAACGGCCTGGCCCACAGGGTAAGCCCAGCGGTTTCGCGATCTGGCCGTCGGAGAATGTGCCCGTGCCGGCCATGTCGGCAACGGCGCCAAGGAACATCGAGGTGGATGGGGGAGAAGAGGCAGGAGAACGAGGAGCAGGTAGATCAGGGGGCAGGAAGAGGGAATCCGCCAATGCGAAAAAACGAAAAGGGCGATGAGGACACGGGAAAGAGCCTCTGTGCTCGTAAAGACGGCGATGAGGCATACTTCCAGATTAGCGTGGGAGATTCTCATGTGCGGTCCCACCGTCGAAGTATTTTTTCCGCCCCCCCGCGCAGTCCTCACACATCTCACCTCGCAACCCTGCTCCTCCTCACCATATTCTCACACGCACCATCACCACCACCGTCATCGTCATCATCGCCATCATCATCACCTTCATCACCGCACCATCATCATCAATCATCCTGACCATCTTCCCACGATGATCATCGATCATCACCACCAACACCACGCAATGTTTTCTCAGGACACTCCCGCACAGGAAGAACATCCCCACATCATCATCGTGGGTGAATTGCGAGGAAGTCTCAGGCGGGAGCCCCCTCCATATGGGGCCCGCAGATCATGTTATTCATCCGAGCGGGTCATCGAGGCCCTGTAACCGTCGACACTTTCGGGCTCTTCAGTCTTCAATACGGCGGAAGTCTTCAGCGGGAGCCTCGTCTGTGATTGAATTGCGAAGCAGTCTCTGGCAGGAGACCCCTCCTTATGGGGCCCATGGATCATGTCCTTTATCCGAGCGGGCCATCGGAGCCCTTAAACAGTTGTCATTTTTGAGTTGCTCAGCTTTGAATATGGCAGAAATCTCGAGCAGGAGCTTCGTCAGAGAGTAAATGGCCAGGAGGTCTCATGCGTGAGCCCCCTCCTTATGGGGCCCGCAGCTCATGTTATTAATCCGAGCGGGCCATCGGAACCGTGTAACCGTCGTCATGGTTGGCCTCTTGAAGCTTGAATGTGGCGGAAGTCTCGAGCGGGAGCATCGCCTGTGAGTGAGTCGCGAGGAAGTCTTCCGCAGGAGCCCCTGCCCTATGGGGCCCGCATCTCATGCCATTAATCCGAACGGGCCATCAGAACTTTGTACTTTGAGCCCCTCAGTCCTGAGTACGGCGGAAGTCTCGAGCGGGAGCCTCGCTTGTATGCGAATTGCGAGGAAATCGCAGGCGGGACCCCCCCTCCCTGTGGGGCCCACAGCTCATGTTATTCATCCGAGCGGGCCACCCAAACCATGTAACTGTCGTTATGTTTGGCTGCCCCAGTCCTGAATATGGCGGACGTCTCGAGCGGGATCCTCGTGTGTGAGCGAATGGCGAGGAAGTCTCAGGTGGGGGTCCCCTCCCCATGGGGCCCGCAGGTCATATTACCAATCCGGGCGGATCATCGGAACCCTGTAATTGTCGGCCTCTTGAAGCTCTAATGCGGCGGAAGTCTCGAGCGGGAACTTCGTTTGTGAGTGAATGGCGAGGAACTGCATGCGGAACAGGTCGATCATGCGGTCACCCACTCGAGAGTTCTTGGAGCGCGGGGGTGTGGAGTCGGCGCACGAGTAATAGCATGACTTGACGCCGTACCCAAAAGGCATCTCAAAGCCTTCTCTCGCGCATTTTTGAATTACCAGAAATCAGCGAGGAAAGATTTTCAATACTACTGCCAGCAGGGGCAGGCCAATGCCCCGCGTACAGGTCCCTGTAAGTTCCATCTCTTGCAGACGGCTGGCCTGTGTGGTCGGGTTCTGGGCTGCCGCCATTGGCAATGCAATTCGTGGACCATTAAATGGCATCGTGTAGAAGCCAGAGTGAATCATGTCGACGCCGTGCTATGGCGACGCACGCAACAAGAAGGACAGCATCACACGTGTGCCACGACACCAGAGAAGAAAGCGATTGCACCATTGCGGCAATAGGCGATTGTCCTCTTTTTGTTTTCTCCGTCATCACCATGAAGCGTAAGAGGGCCACAACATTGCGGGCCCGTATGAGATCACACATATTGGGATGATCTGGAAACCAAGTTTCGCACGCACCAACAGATTATCCTCAATATGTAGGCTCCGCACCCCTTGCAAATTTGTGTGTGCTATGGCAGCGCAGCCTAGCGAAAATCTCACGTGCAAGCAGGACTCCAACGAATTGGACATCCTTGCCAAGCTTATCGTCTTTTCAAGAACTACATTGAAAATTTATATGGCTCCAAATGTCTGATTGAGTTGAAGGATTTCACACAATGAGTAGCCGAACCCCTCTCAAGGTTCTGGGTCGTAGGCGACCCCAGTGCCGTATCTCTTCTGGCATGTCGCGGCCAGTCAGCGAGGTTGCCCAAGCGGGCGAAACGAAGAGGGGCAAAGGGCACATCGATGAATGTTTTTGCATTGTTGCGCAGAGTCTTGCACGATTCCAAAGCAATGGCGAGCTGGATGCGTCAAAGCATCAAGACGCAGGAACGAGACGGGTGGGGGGAGGACATGAGGGGGGATCATATGAGGATGGGGGGGGGGTAGGCGGAGAAGGGGAAGAGGGACGGAACGGGTGAGGTCAAGGGAGAACAGGGCCAGGGGTCGGAGTAGGGAGATGAGGATGGAAGTCGGGGTTTGTTCAGAAAGCTTGGGAACTTGTTCCTCTGACGTCTGCGTTTTCGAACTTTCCCGAGAATCAGCGGTACCTGAAAGACAGCCATGCTCACCACCGAAAGAGCTCCACCTGAGATCAGAGGCAAGATGCGACTGAGCGAGGCGGCGGCGGGTCTCCCTGGTGGCCACTTGTCGAATCAGTAGCACATGCAGTGCTCCTCGATCAGGCCGTGGGCGCCGCGGCAGGAGGAGGAGGAGGAGGAGGAGGAGGAGGAGGAGGTGCAAGCTGATCAACAGTAATCGCTCAGCGCTGCAGGGAGGGCGTGGATTGGCGAGCCTAGAAGTTATAAGGATACCTAGCTTGAGAAGCAAAAAATGTTCAGGGGACTGGTTGCCCGGAGGGGCCCTGACAGTCCTGGGAAGTTGGGTTCGGCCTTCTCCCCGAGTGTTTGGCCCAAGAACGGCGGCGGGTGCGGGGGGGGGCATCTTCCTTCTCATCCTTATCGCACCCTTGTTGCTCCTCATCCTCCTCCAGCTCCTCACTTTTTCGATATAGGCGGCGTGATGCTTTTCTCAAGCAATAGTATGAGCCACAGCTAATCGCTTTCACAGCGAAAAACTATGGTGTCGCGGCACTCTATATTCCAGGAGCCACAGGCGACGGAGCAAAATTGCAGCTGGAAGACGGGGTGGAGGAGGAGTGAGGAGGTATGTCGGTGATTGGGGGGTGTTGAGGTTGGTTGCACAGAGCTCCACGAGGGTCCCAAGAGGTGTCCAAGACGGCCCAAGAGGGGCCCCGAGGGCGCTCCGAGGAGGCCCCAAGAGGGTCCCGGAGATGCGCAGCAGCCGCTGCACATCTTTGGGGTCGTCTTGGACTCCTTTTGGGCCGCCTTGGACCTCTATTGGAGGCCTGTAGAAGAGGCTCTCTTGGTGTTGTGTGGGCCCCGAATAGGGCCCAATATGGCCCCAAGACGGCTCAAAGATGGGCTCAAGACGGCCTCCGCAGTCGGAAATGACGCGTGCGAGGGCCCTCTTTGGGCCAGATTGAAGTTTTCCTGGGGCTCTCTTCTTGAGATCCCAAGAGGGCTCCAAGAGGGGTCCAAGACGGCCCAAGAGGGGTTCAAGACGATCTATATAGCTTGGGTTCAAGCCACCTCGAATCAAGCTATACATTGAACATCTTGGCGGTTCAGGGCTTGCTGTTGGCAGCCCAATGCATGGGCTTATCCACGTCGTTCTCAAGGATTTTGTTGTAAGCCGATGCGGCGAGGACGCCTGGAGGTCAGTCCTACAGGATCTGCACCTCACGGACGACGCTGCGATTCTCGATCTCAAGCAGTATGACGACGCCACATCTGTGGCCGCGGTCAACGCTGTGGTCAAGGTGCTCGCGATCACATGGGACGACGCTTTGAAAGCATTCGGTGCCCACTTCATCGCGTACATCCATGCTGGAGGCCATCTGCGCATGCTGGAGAGCATGGGGGACAGCATTCAGGAGTTTCTGCAAAACATGGACCACCTGCACAGCCACTTGGAACGCAAGATCCGAGGCTCGAGGTTCCCCTCCTTCCACGTCAGCGACGAGGAAGAGGACGGTTTTCGGCTCTCCTACGCGTCCGCCCGCGGCGCTGCCCTCGTCGCCTTGGTGGAAGGAAAACTGCAAGCGGCGGCCAAGCTCCTCCACCGGCAAGCCATCAGCATGCAGCTCGACGCCGAGCCTCTTCCCGGATTCTCAGCCACGTGGCGCGTCAAGGTTGGCAGACTGAACAGCGCGGCAGGGGAGCCGCCGGTTGTTGCCGACCGGCGTGGCGCTCTGGTTCGAGGGGCCGCCTGGCACCACGCCCTCGTGAGTTGCTTCAACTTCAGCTGCTGCGCGGAGCCTGCGGGAGGCCCCACTGGTGCCGAGGTTGTACACGAAGACAGCTGCACAGATCTATTCCCCGACTGCTCACCCTACTCAGCTGCCTCCCGCGCGTCAATTTCCCAGCTGGACGAGCTAGAGTGCAAGGCCAAGGGCTTGTCGCAGCCTGCGGACTTGCTGATGAGGGCAGTTTCCTCCCTACGTGTGAGCGCCAGGTGGGAGGATGCCGGCTGCCTGGCGCACACGGAGGAGTTTTGGCGCACAAGCGACGGGGACATTTGTCATTTCCAGTTGGCATCACCAGCTCAACGTGCCACGCGCTTCGTATCACATTCTTGGTTCGAGCCCGCGAACTGGCAGGATGTCATGGGCTCCAAGTGTAGTTATGCCGCCATGAAGTCTACAGAGCTGCAGTTGGCTGCCACAGAGATCGCAGCAGACTCAGGCTGCAATCTCGAAAACGTAACCTTTTGGATCGATAAGTGTTGCATCCCCCAGCAGCACTCGCTCAAGGATCTCTGCATCTCAATGATCGAGGAGTTTCTGGACCGCTGCGACGGGATGGTCGTGCTCCTTACCTGGGAGTACTTCCAGCGACTGTGGTGCGTGTACGAGTGGGCTGCGTTCCTTGTGCGCCACCCTCTAGAGAACCTCACGATCTGCATGGAGACATTCCTGCGCCCGAGCTCCCGCCAGCTGCATATCGAAGCCATCAGGAACCTGACAGTTGACAACTGCAAGTGCTCCCGCGAGCTCGACCGCACGCTGCTCAAGCAGAAGGTTGCGCAGTACTACACCTCCGAGGCCAATTTCGAGACGCTGGCGCGGTGCAGTGCCATCGCGCTGATCGTCCGGGCACTGTGCAGAAGCGCATCTCGCAGCATGCACACTTGGGAGGAAGAGGTGGTGCCATTTCTCAACCTGGCGAGGGACTTAGGCTTGGTCGACCTGGCTGAAGCCCTTGAGTCCGCGGACCCGTGGCGGTGGCGGATGACCTCCCAGAAAATCGCCTGCAGTGACGTATGCGTGTCCAATACACGAGGTAGTATCACCGAGGTCAAGGAATGGCAGCCCCTCTTCAACTACTCAATTGACTGCTGGTTCGATGATCGGGTCGCCCCCGTTCTGCAGCGCACCAAAAGGGCAGCCGTTCGGCCGGACTTCGCAGACAGTTCTGATATTCACGGAAGCTTGAGTGAAGCGCGCAAATGGCATACGCGTAAAGCCACCGGGTCGAAATCATGTGCGATGCTGGTCGGGGATTGTGACCCCCAGGTGTCGTGACGAGGTTGTAGTCGGTACATTTGGTGACCCGCCTGATGCATGCGCGCGATATAAGCATACGGCGACCCGCCTGATGCATGCGCGCGATATAAGCATACGCGCACGCTCCGCTTAATGAAACTCAATTTTTTCGGTCTGGCCAAGATGCATCATATCGAAGACGCCTACGGCGAATCACCGCCGCCCCCTGCCTTTTGGAGTCGCCCATGTGACCGAGTGTTGTGGCAAGAGCTCTGCCAAACTATCGGACCCTATGTTCCCCCAGCCGCTATGGAAACCCTTTGGGGAACACTTGGGGGAGGACGCTGGGGAAGATCAGGAGGAGAAGGAGCAGGAGGAGGAGGAGGAGGAGGAGGAGGAGGAGGAGGAGGAGGAGGGGGCATCTTGGGAGCCTCTGGGGGCACTCTTGTGGCCTCCTGGGAGCTTCCTGGGAGCGTCTTGGAGGCATCCTGGAGGCCTCCTCTTGGGGGTCTTTGGAGGCTTCTCGGGAGCCTCTTCGGCTGTTTTAAGGCGTTCCTGGCCCTTCTGACGCCGTCGAAAGCCGCCCTGGAGGCTTCTCTGCGCCGACTGAGGGTCCCCTTGGGGTGCTCCAGAGACGTCTTGGTGGCCTTGGAGGCTTCTTGGGCCGTCTTGGGTCTCCTTGGGGCGGTCTTTAGGGCCTCTTGGGCCGGTCTGGGGCCATCTTGGAAGCCTCTTGGGCGATCTTGGGGCAACCTTTGAGAGGCTCTTGGGCCGTCTCGGGCCGTCGGAAGGCCAAAAAGAAGCAAATGCCAAAATCCTTCAACAGCTTATGGAACATCAGTGATTGTGGCCTCGTCGGGCCTTCCTGGAGGCCCTCTTGGAGGGCTCTTGGGCAGTCTACAAACCGCTGGATTAAAAAGTGGAGACCGTGGGAATCGAGAAAGACACGGTTGGCCTCCCGTTAGGCCGCGGGGCCCCGGACGATGTTGGAGTTGGGGGCGGATTTGGGAATCTCAGATGCATCTCCCACCTCTTTCAATATCATAACGGCCAAATGGGGTCTGCGTCTGAAAGGGCGATTCCGCCCGAGATTTCCTCAAACAAATGTTCATATCGCCTTCCAGGGCGATATGCAAATTTGCCATGGCATCTGAAAATGGCGATTTCGCGTGGGTCCTCCTCAGAACAAAATTTCAGATCGATCTTCATGCCGCTTGAGAGTGGCGAGATCTTCTGATAATTCCTCACGGGGCATTTTCTGGCCGCTTTTCATGCCGCCAGAGAGTGACGATCTCGTTTGGGCTGTCCTAACAACCGCGCGTCTCGTCCACCCTTGCGGCGCCGTTCCTCCGTTGGGGTCACGAGCCTGTCTGGGAGTCATCTTGGGATCCATCGAAGGTCGAAGTTCGAGGTTTCATCGATTGGCGAAGACCCAGGGGTTGTTCCCTCGCGTAGTACCGATCGCCACTTTTTAATCCAGGGGTGGTAGGAGGCCAGTTGAGAGCCTCCTGCGCCGTCTTGGGCCATCTTGGAGCCATATTCAGCCGTCTTGGTGGTCTCCTGGCCCATCCGACGCCGTCGGAAGCCGTCTTGGGAGCCTCTCTGGGTAGACTGGGGGCCGTTTTGGGGTGTTCCAGGGCCGTCTTAGATGCCATCTTAGGCGTCTTGGAGGCTTCTTGGGCCGTCTTGGGGCCGTCTTAGGGGGCCTCTTGGGCCGTTCTGAGGCCATTCTGGAGGCCCCTTGGGCGATCTTGGGGCGATCTTTGGGGGCTCTTGGGCCGTCTTGGGCCGTCGGAAGGCCGAAAAGAAGCAAATGCCAACATCCTTTAACAACTTGTGGAACATGAAAGATTTGTGCCTCTTCGGGCCTTCCTGGAGATCCTTTTGGAGGCCTCTGGGGCCGTCTTGGAGAAATTTTCGGGGCCGTCTTGGGCCCTCTTGGAGCCCTCTTGGAGCCATACTGAGCCGTCTTGGTGGTCTCCTGGCCCATCAGACGCCGTCGGAAGCCGTCTTGGGGGCCTCTCTGGGCCGACTGGGGGCCGTCTTGGGGTGTTCAGTGCCGTCTTGGAGGCCATCTTAGGCGTCTTGGAGGCTTCTTGGGCCGTCTTGGAGGCATCTTGAGCGTCGTGGAGGCCTCTTGGGCCGTTCTGAGGCCTTCCTGGAGGGCTTCTTGGGGCCGTCTTGGGGCGATCTTTGGGGGCTCTTGGGCCGTCTCGGGCCGTCGGAAGGCCGAAAAGTGCCATTATCATTCAAAAACAAATGGAAGTCAGTGATTTGGGCCTCTTCGTGCCTTCCTGGAGGTCCTCTTGGAGGCCTCTGGAACCTCTTGTAGATCTCTTCGGGGCCACATTGGGTCGTCCTGGTGGGCTCCTGGCCTGTCTGACGCAGTCGAAAGCCTTCTTCTTGGGGTCCTCTCTGGGCCGATTTGGGGCCGCCTTGGGGTGCTCCAGGGCCGTCTTGGAGGCTATCTTGGGCGTCTTGGAGGCCTCTTGGGCCGTCTTCGAGGGCCATGTTGGAGCCTTTTGGGCGATCTTGGGGCGATCTTGGGGGGCTTTTGAGCCATCTCGGGCCGTTGGAAGGCCGAAAAGAAGCAAATGCCCAAATCCGTCAAAAGCCTATGCAAAATCAATGATTTTGGCCTCTGCGGGCATTCCGCCTCTTGGGCCGTCTTAGCGGCCTCTTGGGGGCCTCTTGGGCCGTCTGCCGTCATCTTGAGGCCGTCTTGGAGGCTTCTTGGGCAAACTTGGAGGCATCTTGGCCTCTCTTGGGCCGTCTTCGAGGCCATATTGGGCGAACTTGGAGGCCGTCTTGGAGGCCGTCTTGGGCCATCTTGGAGCCTTCTGGACCGGGACAATTTTGGCGATCACCTCTTCCGCGTGGCCTGTGCGCTGGGCCAGAGCCCCAGAGGGAGCTCTTTTAGAAAAGAACCAGAACCATATTAGTAGGATCTAGCACGCTGGGCACCCTAGTGGCAAGACCACAGGTTCGTGTTCCCCTCCTTGGGCTCTTCTTGGGGATGTCTTTGGACCCTCTTGGGCCGTCCTGGGCGCCTCTGGGAACGTCTTGGAGCCCTCTTGGGCCGTCTGGGGGCCCTCATGGGGGCCTCTATTGGGCAGTCTTGCGGCGGTCTTGGGGGCCTCATAGGCAGTCTTGTAGCGTAGGAAGCTCGAAAAGTCGAGGTCCCAAAAAACATTGAATGAAAGACCCAAACTAGATCAATGATTTTGACCTCTAGGGGCCCTCTAAGGAGTGCTCTCGGAGGCCTCTTGGGGCGTCTTGGAGGCGTCTTGGGCAATCTGGAGGGCATCGTGGCCAGTCTGGAAGCCTCCTGGGGCCGTCTCGGGGCACTCTCGGACCCTCTTGGGTGCTCATGACGAACTCAGTGGTTTGTCTCGGATCATTTTCGACGGGGCCACCTCCCTGGAGGCCCACGCGACACACCCTGGCAGCGTCCAGGACCGCCTGGGACCACTTGGGAAACCGGGGGTCCGGGCACTTAAGAACCTTACAACGCTGTACCTCTTGGGGCTGCATGAGCCTTGGGGCATGGCGGATAGTACGTTAGCTCATTGCTGTGGCCGGGCTCATTCTAGCTGTTCGCGTACGCAAGATATTCCATCAACGGTGACCTTCACTTCAGGCACGATGCTGTTTGATGCTTCAGGAGGCGCAGTTCGGTTATGATTCGGCTGCGGCCACCAGGCCATCACGAATCTGGGGTGAAGGAATGCAATAAACCTTAAACGGATTTCACGTTTTAGAATACCGCAGACGAGTTCGGCCAGATTTGTATCTGCACAAGCTCAGCGACACTTTCAGCATATTACCACCACAACATGTGTAGAACCTATGTAGATATTCGTTGCGCCGAATCTGCACCTTCGGCGGTTGCAGTAGCCTTTTGCCTTTCAGTGGAATTCATTTGTTTTAATACCGCAGACATGAGTTCAGCCGGACTTGCATCTTCACAAGCTCAGCGACGCTTTCAACATATTGCCAGTACTAATTCAAAAAGCGTGAGTACAGACTCGCTGCGCCGAATATGCACTTGCGGCGGTTGCAGTCGTGCAGCTTCACTCGTCTCACAGCGAGGATGTGTGTTATTTGCACGGTTGATTATATCGGAACGTTGGGTTGTCATAACAGTGTTCATTGAATGCACCCAGCGCGACCCCAATCAGGGGAAAGTTTCTTCTTGCACGGGAGCATCGTTTGTCGTTGTTTGGCATTGCTTGGCGTTGCGTGGCATTGTTTGGCATTACTCGGCTCGGCATTGACTGGTACTGGTTGGAATTGCGTGGCATTGGTTTGCATGAATTGGTTGTTTGGCAGTGCTTGGTATTGTTTTGCAATGCCGGGAACCCGAGAATCAAAATTGGGGAACAAGACCAGGGAACCTCAGGAAGGAAGGCAAGGGACAAGACCGGGAAGCCCAAGGGCCTAGTAAGTGAGCAGGACCTGGGACCCCCCGATGAGCCCCATTGCACGGAAACAAGACTGGGGAACCCCGAGGAACGCCAGGGCCAATTGCGCCCAGCGCCCATTTGTGTTTCACAAGCAAGTGAGAACCCTTTGGCAAATCCGAATTTGGGGGAAGAGTTCGAACGTTGGGGACGCTTTCTATCTCAGCCCAGGCATCGAGCCAATCGCTGAGTGATTGGCGATGTCGCGAAGCAGACCATTTGAGCTGTTTAGTTCTGGACCGTGCACGGAGAAGCACTGGGCCGTGCGCTCAGAAGTACGTAGCGCGGCATGTCATGGGGAACTGTCAGTTTCCCGCGGATGCTTTTTGTTCAGCTTCAGGGGGCAAGGACGGAACAATGAAGCCGCCAAGATGGCCAAATCAGCCCAAGATGCCCCAGGACGGCCCCTTATTGCTCCAATTGCCCACAGAAGCTCCCGAGAACTCCTCCAAGTGGCCTTAACTGTGAAAAAAGCAATGGTTATTCAATGATGTTCGCCTTCCCGCTCCTTCGCTCCCGATGGTCCTATGAAGCTTCAGTGTGGCCCCAAGGCGGCCCAAGAGAGCTCCGAAACAGTCCAGAGAGGCCCCAGAGGGTTCCAAGCCGGTTCTTCACGCTTACAAGATGCCTCCAGAGGCCTCCAAAGCGTTCCCATTCGGGTCTCCTTTGTATCAAGGTGCTCCCCGACGTCCTCGGAGCGCCCCAACAGGCTCATCTAGACGTCCCCCAGATGCGACAACTATTGATTTTCTGTTGTTGCTCGATGCTATTCCCTTTCCTGCTGCTGCAGGCTCCCCCACAGCCGAAAGCGGTCCAAGGGGACCGTGACCCTTCCGAAGCTGCCTTGAGACCGCCCAAGAGGCCTCCAAGCTGCTTTAGTCACGTGTGCCACAGACATTTCGCCAATGTGCATGGCAACCCTCATGCGAGCGGACTTGTGAACATTTTTGCATTGGCAGGCTGATCTTGATTCGCTCAGGGAAAGTGGCTGTTCAGGATCTCTCAGTCGTAACTTTGCGCGCTGGTCGCTTCTCGATGTTTGCTGTCTCTCGGGCTCCCAGCATCGGGATTGGCCACACGCCAACTCAACAGGAATGTCTCACTTTTGCTGCTGCGCGCCCGGCCAGAGCATTCTGCGCCTGCCCCGCAGCCTCACGTTCTGAGTTTTTTTAGTGTCTGGAGCCATGCGGGGGTTGTGATACTTGCCAGAAGCATTGCGCCCAAGGTCGTCCACGAAGCACTGAAGTACGTACTGACGTACATGAGGCATGTTTCGCATCAGACGCGAGGTCCTGGAGTCAGTTTGGCACGATAGTTGAACGAGGATTCTCCCTGCTTCGCGCGCGAGACGTAAGGTACGGGGTGGTTTTTCTGCATGCCTGGTGACCATGGTTCTTCGATTTTTTTTTAGTCTCTGTATTTGCAGCCCAGTTATACAGGGAGAAAGTTGCGCGCCATCTGCGTTGATGCTTGGGGGGTTCAGGAAGGACTCCAGCTTCTGCCAGCCGCCCCAGTATTGGCAATCGGCATGTCTGTTGTTGCGCATCATCAGACGCGCGGTCCGAGGGTATAGGTTCAACCTGTCGCCTCAGTACTCGGAATGGGCCCACGCCCACCGAGCAGTAATATGTACAGTTGTATGGTGCTGCGCGCCAGGTCAGAGCAAAGCTGCGCCCGCGCCCGCGGCCATCCTGTTCGAGTTGTTGTTTCTGGGGCCATGTGCGGGTTGCGGCACTTGCCACAAGCGCTGCGCCGAAGGCCGTCAACGAGGCCCCAGCACCAGCATCGCCTAACCTATCCCCGTCCACACTGGGCCATGGTTTCTCAGCGCCACCAGCCCGCGGTGTCGACTCGCATATGCTCGTCTGCCTACGCTGCCGGTTCTACAGCTCTGGTGTGCAAATCAGCGGCCATGATGAAAACAAGTTTAAACAATGATGTCAATCATCCCCCCCCCCAGCTTTCTTTTCACCAGACGGGTGGTACATGCTGAAATTAGAAGAAGGAGAAGGGATGGGGGAGGAGGAGGAAGACTGCAAGCTTGTATCACCACGTGCACAGTCCAGCTTCGACTAACCATTCGGCAATGTATCTACAATACAGACTGTGCAGGTACACTACAACACAGCCCAGCCCAGGCTACCGCTACGGCCTAACGAGCCTGCAAGCTCTACCAGTCTCTAGTATTAGAATCTCTCTCTCCACTTCCATGAAGGTCGCCAAGGGGCCATCCCCTCGCACTTGCTAGTGTCCAGCCTCGTGTGCAGCCAGCCGCGATCGTGCTAATACTGTCCGCCCACTAATTCTGACCGTCTGAGGTCTCCAACATTAACACATCGGTGACAGTTGGGTACGTCCTTGGAGGGATTGAGTCCTACAGTGGACCGTGGCCATTTACAGAATCACTCAAGCACGGGTTGGTGCATTCCCGTCGCGCCTGCTTGCAGTTCCCACCTCCGCCCCCTCCTGCCCTGCTGTGCGCTCTGCCGTCCTCCTTGCTCATTGTCCTGCTTTCCCCTCCCCTGCATGCTGCTGTCCAGTAGCTCGTTCGCACCCAGTTTCTGGACTCCCCCTTCTGATCGTCTGTTGGTTATACTCCATGTCCCAAGTGCAATTTGCACCGCATCTACGTGCCCTTGCGGGCAGCTCGGCTCCTCCAGTACGATTATTCTTTTTACATTCCCTGCGGCCGCTGCTGTTGCATGTTGCGTTGCGTTAATTGCGGCCACTGCTCGGCTAAGCCAGGGCACCTTCAAGGAGGAGGAGGAGGAGGAGGAGTAGGACGACGACGACGACGACGACAGCGGCGGCGGCTGTGACAACGGTGACGGTGGCAATGGCGATAACAACAGCGACAACGACGACGACGACGACATCGACGAATGCGATGACGACGATGACGACGGCGGCGCTGGCGATGACGACTTCGACGCCGACTTCGAGGATGAATTCCCCAGAGGACCAGACACCTTCATTCTGGACGTCGAACCTCTATTTTGGATAGAGAACAATGTCCAGAACTGACGAGAGATATGGGCATAATGACGTCGAGCTTTCTCCATGTTCATATTTTGATCCCGTGGGTTGGTGACGACGACGACGACGACGGCCCTGGAGGAGGAGATCGTCTTGGTGCGGCAGCACCCTGCTGAGCGGGCCCTGTACCTTCAGCTGGCGCATGCCGCTTCGGACCTGGACCTGGTTGGCGAGGACGCCGAGGGGGGGGGGCCGCGCCCGAGGCCCTAGTGCGGGAGGAGGGAGGGCATGGGGGTTTGGGAGGGAGGGGGAGCCCCAGACCTCCGACGACGCGACGCTCTCAGTCGCGGCACTTTTCCTGCAGTCCGGCCTCCGGGGGCCGCTTTCGAGCCCTGATGCCATCGAAAACGGATCCGGGGCGCAAATCTGCCCCTGGGGAAGAGGGTCGGCCGCAGATTGGACCAATCTTATCGGAGGGTGTCTGGGGCTCCCTTCCCTTCCCACCCCCTGCGTGAGGGCCTCGAGCTGGCACGGGGCCGGGCCTCCAGAGCCTCGGGTGCCCAGGCGGCCAGCCAGACAGGGCCCGCCTCCCGTGTGCATGGGCTCAGGCCGCAGAGAGGCCACGCTGGGCGGCCGGGAGCCGGCACGCGAGGCCCCCCGGGACGCGTCAGCGATACGAATGCAGGGTGGGTTCGAAGTTGGGGGATGAGGCCCGGTTTGGTTCCGGACGGGACCTGGTGTGCCTTGGATCCTTCCATGGGTCTCCTTTTGACACAATGGGGGCCCCCAAAGGACTTAGATCCATGTGTTGTCTGGCTGTCTTTAGGGCGGGTTTAGGTTGAGCTGGTTGAGTGTTTTTGTGTTTTGATGCCGACGACGATTGTAATGATGGTGGTTATCAAATCGTAGTGGTGATGGTGGTGGCGATGGTGATGGTGATGATGATGGTGGTGCTCATCACATCCAGAATCACCATCATCACCATCACCATCATCACCATCACAACCGCCCTCACCATACCATCATCACCACCCCCATCATCATCATCATCATCATCATCATCATCATCATCATCATCATCATCATCATCATCATCATCATCATCATTATCATCATCGTCATCATCATCATCATCACCATCACCATCCATACCATCAGCATCGCTATCACCATCACCATCGTCACCGTTGTGATCCGTAGGACTTGGCTCAAGGTAATGTCGTCGTCCGCTCCTGCGGTTTCCCCGAGCCCTCCTTCGGTTTCCCCGAGCCCTGCGGCCTCGTCCTCTCCTTCGGTTTCCCCGAGCCCTGCTTCTTCGAGAGCGCCCTCGGCGGCTTCTTCGACAGCGGCCTCGGCGGTTTCTTCGAGAGCGGCATCCTCGAGCCGTGCGGCCTCGTCGAGAGCGGCCTCGTCGAGCCGCGCGGCCTCGGCGGCCTCGTCGAGGGCAACTTCGCCAAGCCGTGGCAGCTGCAACAGTTCGGACGCCGATGCTGACGTAGGGTCCGACGCCGACGGCGCCGACGGAGTTGCCGACGCAGCGGGCTCCGAAGAGGACAGCGGCTCCAACAGCGGCTCCGACAGCGGCTCCGAAGAGGACAGCGGCTCCAGCAGCGAGGCAGCCGCGGCTGCAACAGCGAAGGCGAAGGCCGCCCCGAGCAAAGTAGTCGAGAAGTTCCAGCCTTCGTTGTCCATGACCCTGGAGGAGCACGCCGCCAGCCACGACTACCCAAAGCACGTCTCCACCTGCGGCGCTTGCAAATTTTGGAAGAACAAGGAGAAATGGAGCGCCTCGATGTCTGCGACGAATCCAGTAACACTGAAGAGTGAAACTTGGATAGGCTGCGTAGGTGGTAGATTTGCAGTCTGCTTGTTCTGCTCGGCGTTCAAGGGCGCTCGTTGCATATCCACCCTAGGCCAGGGATCCGGGAGTTTCCAACGCAAGGAAAACCGCGTGCGCCATGCGCAGTGCGAGGAGCACCAGGCAGCAGAATCGGCGTGGAAAGAGCGGATTCGAGCGGAAGGTGCGCACCAGGGTCTCCCCGTGTGTGTGTGTGTGTGCGTGTGTGTGTGTGCGTGTGCGTGTGTGCGTGTGTGTGTGTGTGTGCGTGTGTGTGTGTGTTCCCCACAACGGTTGCATCAGCTGCAGCAGCTGCAACAGCCGCGGCGCCTGCGCCCGTCGTCGTCCGCGCCGCCGACCAGCGCCCTGGTTGCCGCGCAGCGGTCGCCACCCGCGCAATGTTGGAGACGTCCAGTTCCTTCAGAAGTTTCGACGTGTGGCGGGATGCGTTCGTTGGGGGCGACCGCCAAGTTTTGGAGTTTAGTCAGCAGCGCCGAAGGCTGGTGACCACCATGGCTCAGCACGAGAAGATCATCACGCAGAGGATCCTCAAACATGATGTTGTTTTTCGTTTGGCTGCGGACGGCCTCGACCGCGCGTACCAGGTCGAAATTGGCACCGTGCTGCGGTCGATCCCGAAGGCTTTGGACTTCCTCCCAAGCTACGGTCTCAAGGCAGGCTGGCTGGAACAGCTGGGCCCCAGAGGGCCCTGGATCGTGGATCGGGCGATCGGGGCGCGGGAGTTCCCGCGGGGCATGGACTGCGACGGCGAGGCTTCCATGCTGGAGGAGTGCGTCCGTTGCGCGTGCCAGACGGCAGGCGGGGAGCTGGACGGGGACTTGCACAAGCATGTGCGACAGGAGACTCGGGCATGGTGCAGCGATGGGGCGGATCTAAGTGTACCCCTGGCTGCAACAGCTACGTGCCCTGGGCTGGCGTTTCGCGCGTGGGGCGAGTCTCGCTCGCCCCAGAGGGTTCTGACCAATTCGATGAAAGGAGACAGCCAAATAACGACCACGGACGAGCTGCTGGTAACGGGTAAGAAGCCGCCAAGTCTGGCCAAGTTCCTGACTACCTCCACCGTGTTCCGCAACGCACTCGGGGAGCAGCAGCTGGTGAAAGACGGCGCTGCGTGCGTCAAAAACTTCGGCTGGGCCCCCCAGCGTTCCAACAGTCGGGCGCAGCGCCGCAGGGTAGCAGAGTTGCGGGTAGCACCGCGCCTGCCGCGGCACCTGGGCCGGGAGCAGGGGGCGCGGGTAGTTCCGCCTCCGCTTCTGGAGCCCGGCTGGCTGACGCCGATATGCCGCAGGCGATTGCGCCTATGGCAGTGGGCGCGGGTAGTTCCGCCCCTGCCAGTCCCCCGAGTGGCGACCGCGCGCCCATGGAGGACGTGAGGCCGAAGCGAAAGGCCGACGCAGAGGCTGAGGTGGACTTCCTCAGCGTAGCCCTGCGGGAGCTGGGCGCCTTCGAGGCGCCGGACTCCACGACCAGACACACCACCTCGGAGTGGTTGGGCTGCACAGGCGGCCGCGTGTTCGACATCCGCAGAGCGGACCCGGACGACGGAAGTCCTTGGGGCTGCAGCGAGCCAGTGAAGCAACAGAAGAGAAGGTGTTATGGATGATCGAGGGGGGGAATCCAGACCTCGTTGTTGGTTCGCCTCTGTATTGTTCCTCAAATCCTCTCCATCGCGTTCGCGAATGTTTCGCGATTTATAGGAGGAGGATGGAGGAGGGGAGGTACTTCTTACATGTGCAGCCTGATTGTTATGATGCCGTCTGGACGTCGACTGTCGCACAGGGTGTTCTCAAACAGGGCGGCGTGTATCTTTGAGGGGCGAGAGGTTTATGGCGGCTGTCCAACGGAGATCAGCTGGCCAGCTGCCTGGCGCCACATATCCCAGGAGCGCCGGTCGACACCGCTATTGTCCAGGGCCTTGAGGCGCAGCTCAGAGCAGACAGCAGGAGGAAACCGCTCTTCGCTTTCCCCCTGGAGCCAGAAGAGGACTTGCACGAACGCGTTTCCATGGGTGATTGGCCGGATCATTCATCAGACGTGTATGTAGATGACGTGTCCGGGCGTGTCCTCGACGCAGTGCTCGTCAGAAAGGCCCGGGAGGCTGAGTTGAGCGAAGTTGATGACTTCAAGGTCTACGCTTGGGCTCGTGTGGAGGAGGCTTTGCAGGCAACAGGTAAGAAACCGATTGGCGTTCGTTGGGCCGACGCCAACAAAGGGGACCATAACAACCCTAACTACAGGAGCCGCCTCTGCGCCAAGGAACTCAAGGTGAAGGATCCTGGAAAGGAGGGGACCTTCGCAGCCACGCCGCCTCTAGAGGCGCTGCGTTTCCTGTGTTCCTTGATGATGACCGCGCCTGGACATGAGGACGCGGAGGCGCAGCAGCGCGGAGATTTGGTGTTGTTGTTCATGGATACTGCACGCGCCCATTTTCACAGCCCAACAGATGAGTTGATCTACGTGGATGCGCCGCCAGAGCGGCACCGACCAGGGTGGCGTCGGCGCCTGCTGAAGAGCATGTATGGGACTCGCCGGGCAGGACACAATTGGGAGCGATTCTACACCAGCGTGTTGGTCGAACGTCTTGGTTTTACCGTTTTACCCAGGGCTTGAGCAGCCCCTGCTTGTTTCTTCACGGTAAACGCCGTGTACGGGCTTGGTTGGGTGCATGGAGATGATTTCGTCTTTCTTGGTTCGCGTGCAGATGTCTTATGGGTCGAGGAGCAGATACGGCAGCACATTAAGATGAAACGGATTGGCTTGCTGGGCCCAGGAGCCCACGACGACAGGGAAGTCCGATGTTTGAATCGCATTATTCGGTTCGATACTTCGAGGGATAGTCTCGAGTTGTGATGCAACGCGCCTCGCACAGAGAGGGTTTACGTTAAAACCTTGGAATTATGAAATAAGTGTGACATGAATATGAAAAATGCGACGGCGCTCAAATGTCAAATTGTACAAAAATTACCGACGCCATTTCAAGAATTACAACAGCAAGAAAGCCTCAGCCCTCGGAACCGCCACCAGCATGTGGGGGTGGGCTTGGCTCCTGCAGCACGCTCGGCTAGCAATCCATGGGCGAGGGATGCTGTGTCGCGGGGGAGCGCAGATGTTCTGTGGGCCCGCAAGCGCAGTAGGGCAGATGCATTCAATCGAAAAGGGTTGCATGCCCGCGACGCGAGGTCGCAGCGTCGGACGTGCATGGCGAAAACAGAAAACCCGCGACGTGCAGATTACACCTACGTGGGATCTTAGTCCCGCCTGTCTCGAAATCGTGGTTCACGCCTCTACCCCGGCCGCATTTATCATTAAAACCCCGACGCAGCCGCGCTTTTGCATTACTGTTTGCGCGCGGTCGTGCGTCGCGAGATGACGACGCGCC